TTGAAGGCTCGCCAGTGTATCTCTAGTCTAGTTATCACGTAGGTCTGAACTGATCATTGTTTTTTGTTATTTGTTGGCCTGTTTTTGTTGTTGTTGTTGTTGTAAGTTTTTGTTTTTTATCCGAGAGGCCACGCCACGGTGAGTTCTCTGAGCCTCTATATTAAGACGAGAGCAAGTGCCCTTAATGAAAAAGGTTTTTTTTTTCAATTCCAAGCAAATCAAACTCATTTTCACAAAAAAGGTTTCGCATTAGCCTGGCCCAAGAGGCGCTCTTTCCAATTAGTACCCAGTCCCTTGACCAAGGGAAGAGTGTATAGCGCTCACAATTTTTTTTTTCACACTTACTATTTTAGGGGAGGGGTAGGTGGGAAGTTTCCCAGCAACGTATAATGATCCAAAAACGATTTGATAAAACGCTACCCAATTCATTTTGGATTCTCTAATCTTTCTTAAGTTTAACAGCATGTGTATGTGTACTAATTCATCCGTTTGAGGCCCTCTCGGATCACATCTTTATGCTATATATTTTATACTTGCGGAAAATGTGGAATTTGTTAACCGTGAAAAAATAACACAAACCCAGACGGAGAGAATGAGAAAACCAGCAATAAAGACTGTTTTTCTCTTGGTGTTGTTGACACCCGGCAGGGTGACCAATGCTCATTCGACCCAAGAAGTGGCTACCTGAGGACGCTTGGAATAGCCCATTTTACATGTACAGTTGGAAATTCGAGGCTGGAGTTGAGCTTGTTTTGATATAATCCCTGCTCCTTTATTATGTAAATCATGTTGTTGCTAAGCTAACTAGTACTTCCAAAATTTTCATTAGGGAAGGAAGGAGGTTTGTATCAAAACGAGGTCAACCTCAGCCTCACGTTCACTCAAAGGCTCGGACACCAAGCCCACTAATGTAAAATGGCCTGTTGACCGGGAGGAAAATTAGATACAGTGTCAACAAATTGTCGAATGGATTTATCGATAAATGTCCCATATCGGTACACGTTTCGTTTTTGCCCTAAAGTATAAATAATTGGCCTAGTAAAGGCGACGGTGCTTTTTAGCTCACAAATATCAAATTATAATGCAAGACAAATTCAATTTGAACTCGTCATCAGTTGTTTACAGTTCAGATAAAGGAAGAAACTGACGCCGCTTACCTCTTTCCAGATAGGGAATTTTTGGGAATGTCTTTAGCAGAGTCTTTACCCCCGTTCTACTAGTGATACTGTTGTCATCATATGGAAGAGTAACGTGAAAAATTCCTATTTGAGCGATCAAGAAAAAAACGCCAAATCCGGACCAAACGAAGAGTACTGTTCTTTTCATGAAATATTGCATCGTTTAAACTTCAAATTGGTTTCATTGTATACTTGCGATGCGGATCGTTTTCAATTCAAGCTGAGTTATATATCAATTAATTGTTATCGAAAAAGACACATTTCTATGGTAACAAATATTATGAGAACGCTGGCTTTACAACTAATAACGGACTTAAAGGTTTATAACGAAGGATGAATAATATTTAATTTTTTAAAAGCCCAAAGCTTAGTCTCTGAAAAAATCCCACAGCTTAATTGAAAAACGTCGACTATAGTTTTAATATTCCTCTATGGTCGTCAAGGTGCCGTGGCCTTGCATTTGATTTCGTTATGACCGGTGGAACATTTCCTATTAAATGAAACATTTCCTATTAAATGAAACTGAGATCGTTATAGTACTAAATAAAATTAATAACATTGCACACCACGTCATTTCCCTCATTACCCCTTTGAGCTCTTTTACGTTGTTTGCGTCGCAGTTTTCTTTGCACCACTGATCGACATGGCCCAGTTCATGTGCATTTTGTCCACCAGAATCGATAGCTCTGACAATCTCTTTGCAGTCCTTGTCACGTCCCGTCGAACAGGGTTTTGAGCAAATTTCTTCAAATGGCATCTAATGTCGTAAATAATCAGTGGATGGTCAATGATATCTTTCCTTTAAAAGCGTCTGCTCCCTTCGTTTTCTCGGCGGAGGAAACAGGAGCTGAAAAAAGTGTCTACTTCCCGCATTTTCTCGGCGGGTGAAACAAGAGCCGAAAAAGATCTGCTCCCCGAAGACAACCATTTGTCTGGTTCTGCCTTCATTAGTGCCAATTCTTTTTGCAATAACGAATAAGTATTTATTTAGTATCGGATTTACGGGTAGATTTGTCTTTTTTAATTATAGATTGAAAAAAATGTCCCGCACAGCCTGCGAAGGGGAATCTCAGTCTACGCTTGCTAAACTACGTATTTTTCGTTTTGGTTCTATTCTTTCAGTCAATTTATTTTTTCATTCTTTTTGTCAGAAAAATTTGGTAAAAATTCGTGTCGTCTTGGGCAAAATACGAAACAAAATTCTCTATGAAGCGAGTTGTGCCCTGCTGGTCCCTAAGCGCCACTTACAGCGTGGAAAACAAGAAACGTGGAGCACTGGGATAAACCCTTCCCACGATACCTTGCGTGCCTCGTAACTGAGTAAGGAGGGGTGTATTGGGAAGGAAAGGTAGAGTGTGCGTAGGCTTTGACAGATTGTGCCACCACAATTTGTAGTGCGCTGTTATTGGTTATAAGAAGCAGACATTTTCACTCGTCATGTTTTTAATTTAATTCTTAAAATTTTGAAACTGAAGCACTGCCAGCATATAAAATCAGCAAATTTAGCTTGTTTTGGACCGTCTGCGTATATGCTGGACTTAAAGTAGGAGTTTGTGTTAGAGGACTGGGTTTCAGGATTGGTGTCATAGAAGGAGCCATTGTTGTTGATGGGTTAGCTGGTGGCATCCACGAAGGCGTATGATTGACTGAAGTGTTGGCACCAATTTCTGCTGGACGGAAGAACTCTAGAGTTATGTTGGCAAGTGACTTGCAGACAACATATCCTGTATGCGTTGATAACGATACTTTATACATGCCTTGTCATTCACTTTAACAAGAATGTCGCCATCTCTTATCTGGGAGAATGATGCCGACTGTTCGACAGCTTCAACAATCCAGCCTCCTCCAATTATTGTTTCCGGTGCTGCACTCACCCGGATTATAATAGAGATTAATATTAATCCGGATGATTATTATTAATAATAATCTAATCCTTCCAATTTTTGCCGTGCCTTAATCTATTACTGGATTATAATAATCTATTACCGGATTATAATAACCATATTACAATCTATTATTATTATTATAATCCACGGATTAATATTAATCCGAGTTGTCCTGTTTTGTGGCGAGAAGCATATTTGCAGTGTCCTTGTTCAATTCACTTGTCTGTTGATTTAGTTTGTATATACGTTGGATACTAAATGGGGTCGATCTTTATCAGTTGCCATTTGCGCTTGAAGACACTACCCGCATAGGGATCTGGATGCGAGTTGAAGTGACCCAGGAATCTCCACGTGCTGGTCTATGTCGCATAACAAGAGCCATATATAATTAGAGTGAAATTTTATGATGGTGCAAAAAAACAAAGATTTTAGCTACTATAACTTTACCATGTTTTCCAAAAAAGCATAATTTATGAAAAATTTGGGCAGTACCGATAGAAAATTAAAATGTCGCTTTTTTAGGAGCAAAATCTGTAAAAACTTAGTTGTGTACAGAGCGCAAGCTCCAATTATGAAGGTTCAAACGTACAATGCTCTAACACAACATTTGAATATAAACAATAGCCAATCAGAGCGGGCGAAAAATTAGTTTTAATTTCCTTCATAAGCTTACTCAGTATCGACAGCGGTTTTACCATGCAGTTCCGAATAAGATTCATTTAAAACGACTTTAATGCTTTAAAATCGGTTTAAATGAAAGCAACTAAAACTCCGCAGAAATGATTGCAATTATTACCGAACCGACTTAGATAATAAGAAGTTTTTCTCGTGCTAGGTTTTTTAACCACGAAATCAGCACTTCCCGCTGTTGATCCGTGAACCAATCGCTGGCAGCTGCTGTCGCAAGAAGCATATGAACATCTTGCCAAAATGCCGCGGAATTACGATAGTAGTCATAGCAACGATTCAGACAAGTGAAAATTCGTTGGGGGTCTACGTAGGGAGGTCTTTCGAAGAGAAACCGGGAAATAAAACTAGCCAGTTCGATGACACTCCTAGGCGAATATCCGTAACCGTAATCCGAATCCCAGGCCGGATGAAGTTCCTCGTTTGCTCTGATTGGCCTGATTCGTGTTTTGACTCTCAAATCTCGTAAGTTGCGCTGAAGTTTTTTGATCGTCTCCTCGGCTATTTGTAAGGCTTTCTTAGTCTGGGCCAATTCGTTTTGCAACACCGCTATTTCCGTTTTAAGATGACTATCGAACGAGCTTTCATGACCAACTTTACACTTGCTTTGGTGCTGGTGCAGTTGAATTTGTGGAATCATTTCAAGACAACTGCAGCACTTGACGAGAGTGTAGCCACAGGTCTTTAAATGGCTTTCCATATCACCTAGTCTCAAAACCATTTGACAGCCATTAGCAGAGTTCTGGCACTCGACCGAAAGCCCTTCAATCACTCCTCTCAACGCTAACACAGGCGCGGTTCTAGGGAGACTCACTTCCTGCCGACATTCAGGGCACGTTTTCTCGTTTTTAGCGCACGCGTCAGTCACCCAAAGTTCGATACATTCTTCACAGTATGTATGTCCGCAATGCGTCACTACTGGTTTCTTAAACACTCCTGTACATATCCCACAGATTAGGTTGTCATCTACTCGAGAAATAAACATATTTGTCATGTAACCCATTTGCAAAATAGATCACTTCGATTACGTTCGCCGCCTACGATTCTTCACAGCGAAAATACACACTTCAAGGCGTTGGCGTAAATGAAGTGATTTGTTTTGAGGTCAAGCGTGGTTTTAAAAACAATGGCTAACACTTTTGACAAAAGTTTCGCGTCAATAATTGGGCTTTAGCTGCTTGTGGTTTCATTAACCCACAGCAGGTCACCTGACAGGTGTATGTTAAGTTTCGTGGATCGAAAGGAAGTTTTTAAATAAACAAAATGGGATCAGTAGAATTCTCCGAAAATAATCTCAATGATTTAATACACAATGAAAGATCGCTGTGCTTTCTCGTTTCCCGTAACATCGAGCCTATACGTAAATTTGTTGATTCCTTGCTCGAATCTGGCGCGATGCAAGGTGTGGTCGGTCGAAACGAAGAGGTGGAATGTCATGCACTATCTGCTTCGATCAGTCTAAAACAGTTTTACCTCTAGGACTGATATTTGTAGATGTAAGAGACGGAATTCAAATCTAATTCAAGGCAATCCAGATCCTTTTCCAATACTTCGTTTAGTTTTGCCATAAAACGATCAATCCGTTATCATTTTTAATAGCAATAAACACGCAAAACGCTTCAAGCTGACATTCAATGGTTTGTGCGTGGTAAAAAAAAGGAACATTGTAAAAAGGAATTAAATGAACCATGGGGGAAGAATTTGATTTAATAGTTATAACGAAAAACTACGTGCTTGCCGTTTATGGATTGTTATCAAAAGTTAAAAATAAAACCGTTTTGCTACAGTGTTGGTTAACATATTATATTTCTGTTTGATCCGACTTTGACTCGAACAGAAAAATAACAAATGTTTTGAAGTGGATTGACCTGACCCTGGCAAGATCGAAGATTCTTTAAAAAAATGAAATTGCTTGAATTTTGTGTGTGCAAAGACTCTTGCGGACCTTTAAATTTAAAGCACGTGATTTGCTGTCATGGCGACTTCCCAATAAGGAGCCGCGCTTTGAGCTCTTTGCGTCACGACACTATTCCTTGATTGAAGTTGCTAAATGAAAGTTCGTGATGATATATTAGTATATTCCTTGTAAGTAACGAGTTGGATTTCATCCAAGTAACGGGCTCCGTTGCTTTGTTGTTCAAATGATGGGAAATCTTGGGTGAGGAGGCGTTATTCGGCGCGAATTGATGAGTGGCTTTGTGAAAAAGAGTAAGTCGAGTAGTCGCTGTTGTCCAAGGATTACAGTTTATTATGGCGCGATATGTTTTTGTGTTTTTGTGTTGATTGCGCCGCTTAGAAACGCAAAAGAGAATCGTATCCGTTCATTAATTGGTTTTGTTTCTACCTTCGATATAGGACAATCTGCGTCCTCCTTCGTTTAAAGTCTTATCTTTGTGACTTCGTTTGGTTGATAATATTTTACTGATACTACAGGCGAGCTCAACGGCTCGCCGAGTAGATCGAAGTTTCACAAATGAATAAATTTGAAAAACTGGGGAAAATCGGTGAGGGATCCTATGGAGTGGTCTTCAAATGCAGAAATAAAGAAAAACCTGTCTAGCACCGCTAGTTTTTTAAACAGCTCAGGCTTCTACTAGGCTACTAGTCCTTTTAGCGCTACGCTCTTCAACCTTACGAGTTCCATACTCGACTTTAAAAGAAGGAAGAAGACCACTTAACTATCGTACGTGTTAATTGGTAGAACATCTTAATAATTTATAAGTTTACTTCTAGGTGGAAGTCTGTTTCTCTTGTCAGAAATTTTATTACCATACATCAATTTCTTCCCTTGTTTGCTGGTTGCTGGCACATTGCAACCAGTACTAAACCTCTAGCCTGCCAAGGGAAGGAATGTTAAGCTGTGAAAATCCAGTAGAATTTTTGTGCAAAAGAATTTAAGCTCATTTAAGTCTACTCATCTATTTTACATTTATTTCACCTTGCCAATGAGGATTAATTCTTGATGTTTTTTTTGCTACACAAAGCAAATAAAGGATTATAGGTTTTAAATTGAACGTATATAACCCCAGAAATTCTACAGTTGTACTTGGTAGTGGTACAGTAGGTCCTTAAATGAACAGTTGCTGTCAATCAATAATTAATCCATGGTTGTCAAGTCATCAATTTCACTTCTTATAGTTTTGGTTGAAATTTATTCTCCTGTGTCACAATATTTTGAGGGGAGATAAAAATCTCTTTTTTATTTCCTTATTAGAACTTACGGCATCCAAATCTTGTAAACTTACTGGAGGTGTTTAGAAGAAAACACAAAATCCACATGGTGTTTGAGTACTGTGATCATACGGTGTTGAATGAGCTTGAAGCCCATCCAAGAGGGTAGGTTCAAATCTACTGCCAAAAAAAAAACAGTGAAAAACCTACGATTGGTAGGTCGCTTAGAGGAGGGTTTGTTTAGGACAAGGGCTCTCTCATAGGTAATCAGGGCTTCTGATAGGTTGCGGAAAAAAGTCAAATTTCACGGGATTTTTTGCGGCAAATTTGCAAAAAAAATTGGCCGATTTCGCAAGAAATTTGGCGGCAAATTTCACTGAGAAACAATGAATAAAAAACAGGCAATTTCATGGCAATTTTTTGGGCAAATTTCACTAAAATCAATCTGACCAGTGCTGTCAGGTTTTTGTAACAGAGATAATCATTTGCTCTTCCAATAACAATGACACCATGGCTAGTGCCCAGTTTTTTTGCAACATAATGTAGGCCTGGTAGTTTTGGGACATTGTTTGCTCGTTGCAGTGACGAAGTTTCAAGATAAATTTGGACATTTGAGGTGAATATTAAAACAGGTCCAGTGGCCAAGATAAGTATCAAATATGTCGTACGAACATGTATTTGGTAATGTTTTACATATTTTGGTGAATGTTTCGGGATTTCGCGAGAAGTATCAGAAGCCCTGGATAACTGGTCTGATACCTTTGCCAAATATTTATAATTTGCATGCAATTTCTGAGTTGGCTACAAGCAGTGCCATTTACTTAAAGGGTCATATTTTTACTGCAACAAAACAGAAATGGAAACGATTGAAATGAAATAAAATGCATGTAAGATTTTTCTTTTTCTTAACTTATTTACCTGGGAGTGATTTTTCATAGAGAACGTGTGTGAAAATTAAACTGCATTCCAACAAAGTTCATGGTATCAAATCTTTCTCTTGGATACTGGCAGAAGCTTGGAAATTGAGTTTGTTTGACTTTATTGTTTCCTTTTTATTTGTAGTGTGGAAGAAAAAATGGTCAAGAGTATTATTTACCAAACTCTTCAAGCAGTTAACTTTTGTCATCAACATAAAGTGAGTGGTTTCTAAGGTTACAGCATGTTTTGAAAAGAGGGAAATTTTGAGAATGGTGACATATTTTTTACTGCAAGGTGTAAAAATGTGTACATTGCAGACTGTACTTTAGTGTGAAATGTACTGGCAAACACAGATAATAGGGAAATAGTTTCCCTCGGGGCCAGGGGCGAGGGGGGGGGGTACTCCACCAATATTTGGGAAAAGGTGAGCTGTGGAGGGTTTGAAACCCTGACGCTGTTCAGGACAAAAAGATCCTAAAATATACACCCTGTTTAGGACAACAACCTCAATTTTATGACCCTGTTTAGGACAAAATATGTGCCGTCTTGTTTTAAAGCCATTTATTGGCAATTGCAATAGAGCGAATACACATTATATTAATACGGTTTGTTTGCTTAGAAGTACAAACAAATTTCATCAACCAAATCAAATCAATTGCGTATGCAATACCCTTTTTATGATTTGAACAGAATCTGTTTAGGACAGCTGGGAAATTATATACCCTGTTTAGGACAGAGAGGAAAAAACCATACCCTGTCCAACGGCACAGGTCATAGCACCCCCTCTCCTCCCCAGGTAGTTTCCTTTATGATGAGCGGCACAGTTAGCTCAATTTGTTGGGTTTCTGACTGTGGCATGGTAGGCATGGGTTCAATTCCCAAGCCAGACAAACACTTAGGTTCAGACGCTATACTCGACATCAGCTAAATCAAATTCCAAGTTAGGCCAGCTGAATTGATTCGGATGCCGATCTTTATTCTGAACTAAAATTAAAAGAGGATGCATTTGGTTTGGCGCTTGTGAAGTCCAACCTCTAAATCAATGCTGGTCCAGAGCCATTATTCTTGGCTGAGCCAGGTGTACAGAATGGCTGAGCTGACCCAAATCCAGTTTTGAACTGTGTCAGACGCCATACATGTATGTAATTCATATGAATTTAAGTCATTGAATTCAATATTGAATTCAGTGAATTAACTGCAGGGCCTCAAAGTCTTTAAAATAACTTTGGAGAAAGTTCTACCTTTGCTCTGACATCTGCAAATAAGTAGAATTTTGGTCATCTTTGATGGAGGCATGTGTGGCCGACTGGTTAACACCTCAAACTCTGGATCTTGAGGTCCAGGGTTCAAGCCTCGCCCTTCCCGTTGTTTCCTTAGACAAGAAACTTTACTCCACTTTGTCTCTGTTCACCCAGGTGTATAAGCGGGTGCTGGTGACATACTACTGGGAGTTGCTCTGCCATGGACCTTGTATCCCTTCCATGGGGGGAGTAGCAATACTCCTAGGCAATGATGCTTCATGCTAAGAAAACTGGCATAAGCTCTTGCCATTTGGGTCTTTGGCTTGTGCCCGGGGGAGGCACTTGGGTATTTTTTGGGTGGGTATGTGCCGCCCGGGACTCCAAATTGGCACCCCGTTCTAGAAAAAATTTCCCCTAAAATTGATACCCCATTCTAGAAATGGGCCAATTTTTTATACCCCGTTCTAGTATTCGCCCTAAAACTGATACCCCGTTCTAGAAATGGGCCAATTTTTTATACTCTGTTCTAGGGTGCAGCAAGAGTACAACAGTTTGCTTGTTAACGCATTGAACAGTATTTTTAAAAGCAATCTGTCCTTGAATACTTTCAAATGGCAGCTTACATAAGTGGAGCTTTCGTGCGTTCGAAATATTATACCCCGTTCTAGAAAAC